TGAAATGTTGACAAAACCGTCAGACATTAAAGTTCCCTTACCGGGGTCAAATTTCAAAGTAGAGACTCCGGGAGATAGACCTGCAGCTTCAAGCTTTGGATCTACCACGAGTTTGTGATAATCTCGTATATCTTTGTCCAAACCGGCGAGTGTGAGCAGCTTTCCACGGAACTCCGGACTCAACCTCGGTTCCTTCTGCTTTGTCTCTTTTTCTACAAAAAACCGACCTGTTAGTACAAAGAACAATACCGAAATCAGAAAAGTATACAAACAATACAGAATAAAATGAACTCACTTGCTCCAGAATGAATAAACATCGGGATTGTCATCCCATCGGTCCGAGGTTCATGGAAAAAGCTTTTTGATTGCCATTCTCCTCCAATCCATAACCACTCCTCTTGGAAACCATGAAGAGTTTCCGGAATGTCGGTTATTATCTCACCGACCTTAAGACCATGTTGTGGTTTCGCTCCAGCAAAGAAACAACACGAAGATTCCGCAACTCTCCTCTTCGGGCTCTTCTTAAAAGTAAAAATACTCCTCATCTCGTCACACGATGGCAGACCTTCACCTCTCTCGTGCAACAACACCATTAACCCAATTATCTTCTTCCAACTGTTGGGAGTAATTTTGCACAATGGTAACCCCCAACTTCGGAGGTACTCGGTAATCAAATTCGGCAGCGGAAACATCAGCCCCGATCTAAGGCTCTCCGCGAAAAAGCCTACACAACCCGGGGGAGGGCTTGTTATCCTCTTCCCCGGATAAGGTGCGAAAATTTTTACCGAGGGTGGAACTCGTATTTTCTCCCGGAGCATCACCACGTCGGCATCAGTAAGAATACTCGGCCCACCCTCAAAATCGACTGCGGGATCGGGCCATTTCCTCACCGGCCTTCTCCAGTGAGGTGCCTATATCGGCTGCGTTTTCTTCCACCACACAGTCACCATCTTCTTCGTTGGGCTTGATGTCTAAATGTCCCACCAACATCGGATCCCACCGATAATACTCAAAATCTAATTCGACCAACTCTGAGTCATGATATACCTCCAACGAAACCGACTCGGTACTAGAAGAACTCGCCACCGCCTTACCCTTTCCCTTCGACGCCATCAAATACAAAAAAATAATGCGAAACGAAGAAGCGAATAAATATCGGAGATGAAACTTACCAAATAATTAGCAAACAAGTAGCGCACAGAGATTAGTTCTCAAGTTCGCAAGAAAAATTCAACAATCAGATTACTGTATGTAAGAGCTCAAGGATTGAAGCGAAAGTGCAGAAAGTTCAGTCGGAAATTGTAAAGCCCTATTTATAATCTCCAATTTCTGACCGTTAAAGATCCTAATTAGGGGCGCGTGCAACCGAAGCGACCCCTAATTCCAACCGGTGCCACCCTTTCATCTAACAGAAGCCTACTGTACACGTGCCACTCTATTAAAGACGACCGTTACTTCATTTAAGACCATTACGGCGCGACCATTCACACTGAGCATTAAATCATCGACCGTTGCGTCTGTTAAAATTCCTCCTTTTACTCCTCAGACAATAACAGATTTTTGCCAAGTGTTCTAACCCCGGCAATCAACTCCACTTCAGAATACACAACCCACTTCGGTTACCTCAGACACATCGGAGTATCGAGGATATAGAATCCCTAGCTTTCAGTTTCTTACCGATTCGAAGCCTCAAATTGTACTGCAATATCGACTACCATCACTTTGTATGCTCGCCGATATTGGGGGCCTCTCTGTTATCATCCGACTCGGTAATCCATTATTGAGAGCCCTAAACGGTGCCTTGAGCAAGTTGACGCTTACACCGACCCGGTTCGGCATTTCCCTGGTTCGCATGACGAACCGGAATGAACATAGAAGACCGAAGTGACCATCGCCAACCGGAGTCATCCCTACCGAGATCAACACGAACCGAGGTTGTCACCTCCTAAAGCAGGTGACAAGGCGCCTACACGCCCCTCTCACGATCCCCGAGATCTGCTATCATTCATATAGGGCCCACTAAGTCTACCGCCCATCTAAAAGTAGCTTTATGGAAAAAGTAACGCACGAATCCCGATATATGTACCGAAAAAGTTACTATAAATAGTGAACTGACACTACTTGTATGGGATTCGATTTTTTTCTTCCCAAACTGAACTCTTTTATAATGAAACACGAAACAGCTCTCAGAAGCTTTTCACCTCGGTTCACCTCGGACCGGGGCCATTGTTAAGTATTTTACCCATACTTTACGTTCGAATTGATCATCATCATTAAATAAATACAGAACTAAATCGTTGTTGGGAATCACATAAAAACACCCCTATT